ACCACTGGCTCGAGGGAGCTCCAATCACAACGCTTCATCGCTCTCTCTCAAGAGACGTTTAAATTGACCGCGCTACCCCCACCCGATCGGTATTTGGGACGTTGCTGCTCGTTCGGGCTGCGTGCGCAGAAATTTCATTTTTCAATACTTTTTTCGCTACTATTAATAAACAATGCTCCTAGGCGACAATCTTTTTCACTCAAAAAATCATTGATCACATGTTCTAAATGTGTCTAAAGTTTCATGACTTTGGCTGCATTTTTTCCTTGGGTTTTGCAGTTTTTTTTTGTGATTTCCATAAGATATCGGGTTAAATGACCACTTTTTCAAAAATTCATAATAAATTAATCATGCTCCCCAGCAGTCTGAAACTTTGCACACGCCTTTTCCATCATTTAAAGAATACGTAAAAAATAAAAGAGAAAAATGGCTCCTTTTTTTCCAACCCTCCCAGCTCGCCCAATTATCCTTAATAATTAGTTGGTAGAAGTTGAAGATTTCAAACGCTTTGAAACCGCTAATGACGTCACACAGATGGTCGAGCGCTTTGTTTTTTTCTAATATAAAGATCTGAAATTAATTCAGTAGTGAAGTGGTAAACCGGTTTAAGTCGATTTTGACTATTGTCCAGTTTTCAATGAATATCTCAAAATCTAAGGGGAATAGCAAAATTTTTGTCATAACCGTTTTTGTAGAGCAAATTGAGAGCTACAAAAAAGGAAATTACAACGATTTCGCTATTTCCCTTAGATTCCGAGATATTTATTGAAAACTGCCCAATAGTCTAAATCGACTCAGGGGAGGTTTGGGTAAAACGGACACTTTTGACTTTTTTAAAAATGTCAATGAGGGGTTGAAATGTTGATAAAATTCAATATTTTTTTTTCAATACAAAGAACAACTCTTTCTCTTTGTGACGAGCCTAAACTGAGCTCAATTGATAAATTTGTTTCTGAGTTATGAATAATTCAAAAAAAGTCTAGTGTCCATTTTACCCCATCCTCCCCTGTACCGGTGGACCATTTCGCTACTGAATTGTTATTTGTGGATTCAGTAACGAAGCGGTAAAACGGTTCAAGTCGACTTAGCTCTCTACTGATTTTTTGAGGAATATCTCCGAATCTAAGGGAGATAGCGAAATTTTCATAGTGAGCTTTTTCATAGATCTCAATTCGCTCTACAAACAAGGTTATAACGAAAATTTTACTATTTGCCTTACATTCCGAGATATTCATTGAAAACTAACCAAAAGCTGAAATCGACTTAAACCGTTTTACCGCTTCGCTACTGAATTATTAGTGAAGCCTTTGGGGACGATCAGGATGATGTTAACCTCAAAATCCTAATTATTGATGATGTTGACATACCTTGGTCATCGGCTTACATTTTTCCTTCTTGTTGTCGCCCTTGGGCTTTATCACTTCTGCACTCGAGGCGTCTGGGGTCAGGGTATTGGCTGCGGGGGTGGTGACAGTCGTCACCGGCTGCTGAGACTCCTCAGTCATTTTTTTACCTGCAGTATTGTGGTTATCTGGGCTGTCTTGACTTGTGGGGAAAATAAATAAAAAAATAGGGAGGTGTGGGAGATTCAGGTTGGTCGGGCAGATGTCTACTCTATCAATGCGTATTTGTTTTTTCTCGTCATATATTTTCGCGAAATTTCAGCGAATTCATTGAAATTTCAATAAATAACTTCATCAATCTCAGTATAATTCATACATTCGCACAAATTATTATATTTCAATTGATTAATTAAACTTCTTGTCTCAATTAATCTGCAGTCGGTTTAGTAGAAAAAATGTTGAAGATAGGAAATTCACTTTTCGACTGCAGAGTCTATCGATTGTTAATAAAGTAGGAAAAAATTGAGGAAATTGAATCCTATTTACTAAAGATGAAAGAAAAGTGAAGTTGTTTTATATCGAAATTTCTCGAAACTGCCTGACCGCTAATTCTTAATTCTGATTGGTCAATATGTGACACGAAATTATTCACAAAAAAAACACGCGGCATTTTCAAATTCTTCAGTGACGTAATTTCAAATTCTTCAGTGGTAAATTTTTTTTTCACGTCATATATATATAATATATATATTTCACATGTATATGTATATATCATCGGTGAAATTAATAAATTCTGTCCTTTTATGGAGACAGATTATTTTAAAAAATTGAAGATAATTAATTGAAAATGAAAAATTCTTTATAGATTCTTTTCGCTATTCACCGTCAATTACGGTCACATGACCGTCATATGACGGGTCATGTGACGCATTTGCATCTCTAGGTATACATGGCAAATAATAAACTAGCGATTTTGTCGGCCCAAACAAGACTTGTTTGACAACGTGTTTGTTTTTCTCAAAGTGTATGTGACTTTATCCACATAATTTTACATTTTATCCAGTGAGTATATTTTATCCAGTCCAACAAAGTTTAAATTAATTAAGTTTAATTGTTATCAATCCGAACTCTGGACAACGGTCCTCCATTTATCCTCATGTTTTGTGCATAAAAAATATGTGCCCCCGGCAACTTTCAAATTTCACCGCGGGCTCCCCTCAATACAATCGCTTCATGCCGCTATCGCGCGGGAATTGATAACGCGCGTTCCACGGGCAATTGAATTTATCGACAAACTCGCGTTCGATTGTTTGCAACAAAGCTGAGTGCCGCACTTCAGACCGAGTCATAAAACATGAAGTAATGGTAAAATCGTACGACATAAGGCAACCGCATTCAGCGGTCCCGCGAGCTGCAAGTGCTTCAAAGGTCAGAGAAGTGTGTTGTGACAGCTGAAAGTGTCAGGTGAATATTAATAATATTCCTCCATGATGACTTCAATAATCATTCGGTTGATATAAATAAGGAGAGATTACTATTGAAACCAGCACCACCCGTGTGATTTTTCCGCATCGTGCACATTCTATTCAAGAACATGAACATGTTAACTAACATACGATCTGCAGTGCAACTACGATATTACGGTACTTCTACCATTAAATACGGTAACGCTGTAGATAGCTGAACCGATCTCAACTTGGAATTTCATGAGGAGTTGCAACTGAGTATGCGCTTGCACATTCTAACTCGGTCTCCTTGACATATTTACAAGAGCGAGTGCACGTACTCGAAATAGTATACTGTTAAAAATTTTCTGTGAAAATTCTGATGCATCATGCGTGAAAAAAAAAATTATAGAAAAACCTAGTGAATTTGATAGAGAATTCAGTAGCGAAGTGGTAAGCCGGTTTAAGTCGACTTATCTCCCAGTAGAGTTTTTGAGGAATATTTCCGAATGTAACGGACATAGCGAAATTTTCATCATTACATTTGTTGGAGCTCTCAATCGGCTCTACAGAAAAGGTTATAACGAAAATTGTGCTATCTCCCTTAGATTTTGAGATATTCATTGAAAACTGGTCAATAGTCAAAATTGACTCATACACGGAGAGAAATATTCAAGAAAAATTACGGAACATTTCACGTAATCCGCAAGCGAGAATCGTTTTCAGTGAATTTCTATAGGAATATAAGAGAATAAATCTGAAACGTTCAGTAAATTTTCGGGTCTGTCACCGAAAAAATATGAAAAAGTCACGTAATTTTTCTGGAAGTTGTAAAATCTAACAGAAACTTCAAGACTTATTATGCCTCAGAACATGAAAATTCTTGGATGTTTAAGAATTTTTACGAAAAGTTCCGGAAAAATTACGGAACGTGTTGTTAAAATCTCCCCCTCACGGTGACTCATGGCTAGCCGTGAGGCGTCGGACGGATGAGTAATTTTTACGGAACAGATCGTAGAATTTACGTGACGATTGACACTTTTTATTGAATTTTACTTCGCTCCCAGATTACGTTTCGAAACGTAATTTTTACGTCTTTTTTCTGGTAATTTTTATTGAATATTTCTCTCCGTGTACCGTTTTACCACTGCGCTACTTAATTATATGCACCCAACGCATAATCGCACGGTCCCGGGTTCAAATCCCGGTCTAGACTATCCATTTTGTTCACCTAAACCTCGCACTTTCTGATGAGCTTTTATTTCTTCTCNGATGAGTAATTTTTACGGAACAGATCGTAGAATTTATGTGACGATTGACACTTTTTATTGAATTTTACTTCGTTCCCAGATTACGTTTCGAAACGTAATTTTTACGTCTTTTTTCTGGTAATTTTTATTGAATATTTCTCTCCGTGTACCGTTTTACCACTGCGCTACTTAATTATATGCACCCAACGCATAATCGCACGGTCCCGGGTTCAAATCCCGGTCTAGACTATCCATTTTGTTCACCTAAACCTCGCACTTTCTGATGAGCTTCTATTTCTTCTCGGAGGTTGCTAATAGAGGAACCGCCTGTACCGGCATGGGTTTCCTGTGGTTTCCCATGCTGTTCCTATGTTCTATAGGAGTGCGAATGCGTTACAGTGTAGAATCCACAGCCGCATGCGTAGGGTTGGATAGAGTGCCGAAATGAGACCCGAAAAGGGGACTCAAAGAGGCCTTAAAAAAATTCTGTTTCCTCGAAACATTCTTTGGAGTAGTTATGTGGGAATCGCGACTAAATAACTTTGCAAAAATAACTTCGGAAAAATAACTTGAAAAAAAACTTCTGAAAAAATAATTTCAACCATTATCAATTTCTACTAAATTGATTGAGACAATATGCACAAACGGATGAGCCAATATGGGATTATTAACATCCCCTAAAAAAGTCCCTAGGATTGATGAGGAAAATATTCGGCTACATAAATTCAGAATTGTTGAAATGATCATAAGTAAAAATTCCATTATTAATGATAAATTCAGTTGATTTGTGGGAGAAAAAAAGTTGTAAATCCATTGAGCATTGAGAATGTTTCGGTATTTGATAGAATGAAAATAATTTTGTGTGAATCATTTGTTTCCGAAAATATTTTTTTCATCACGCTGTGACGAAAAGTGAACTTTTCGGCACGCTCCGCCACATTATGATGAAAAATATTGTTCGTAACTCGTGAAAAAATGTTTTTTAGCTCGTGGGATTATATTACCCCACGAGTATATAATCCCCGCGAGTATATTATATCACGAGCCGAAGGCGAGTGATATAAACCTCCCACTCGCCAAAAAATACTTTTTTGCACTCGTTACGAAATATACTATTTTACTATTATTACTATTATTATAATAATAATATACTATTATTTTAGGCACGCGCAGTGTGCCTAAAACGCCCCTTTTCCACACATTGTGATGAAAAATATCGTTCGATACTCGTGGAAAAAGTGTTTTTCGTTACGAGTGTGGAAAAAACTTTTTTCCGCACTCGTAACAAAATATACTATTTTGAAGTTATTTTTGTTGAAGTTATTTTTTCGAAGTCATTTTTGCAAAGTTATTTTTGCGAAGTTATTTAGTCGTGGAGCCGTTGTGTGTATCAATTACCAAAACTGCCTTCTTTTAGCGAATTATGGAACCCTTGAAAACTAGGTCACTGGTGTTTTTTGATCTCGAGACGAATGGATTGGACATCCCCACTGCCGAAATCATCCAAGTAGCAGCTAAATGCGGCGAGAATACTCTCAACAAACATATAATCCCCGCGAATTCAATCCCAGCGGAAGTGACAGCGATCACTGGACTATCCGTCATCGACGGAGTCATGTACGACCGATCTCGGAATGCCGTAGAGACGGTGACGAAGGAGAAAGCCATGACGAGTTTCATCGAATTTTTGTCTAGTCTCGGGGGCAAGGCTCTCCTGATCGCTCACAACGCTCACAATTTTGATGCTCCCATCATCAGCCGGACGATGCATGAAGTCGGTCTACTTCATGACTTCATAACTGTCGTATTGGGATTTTCTGACACTCTCCCAATGTTCAGGTATGACTTACCGGAGAGACCGTACAGGTGCAAAAATTACAAATTACCGGCACTCGCTCAAGATCTTCTGGGCTTTCGAGATCCACTTCATGACGCCATGGCGGACATCGAAGTATTGGAGAGACTGACTCAGCATGAAAGGGTCAATGCTGACGTAAAGAAATTCATGACTTATGGCCGAAGTATTCAGAGCATTCTGAATAATTTGTAATTATTTTTTTTATATTTTGATATTTTGTGCGAGCAATATTTGTTGATACTGTTTTTTAGAGTGAGAGATTTTTTTATTGTTTATGGTAATTTTATCCCATGAGGACATTTATGATCAATTTTATACAGAAGTATAAAATTGTAAGGGACATGTTACAATTATTTGTTTTTTTGTGCGCATGCAATATTTTGGTTGAATTTTTGAGACATTTTTTAAATCGTCAATGATCATTCGATTTTATTAGAAAGTTTATAATTAATTTTATATAAAATGCTATTTAAATTGTGATTGTTATTTTTTCCAAAGATGTGATTTGAATGTTGAGGGTTTTCAATATTTCAAAATTTTAATTTTTATATGTGATATTTGCGTTATTCCTTTGTTATAATTCACTTTTATAAAAAAAACTGTTACTAATTTTATATAAAAGTCTATGGAAATTGTTACGATTGTTTGTGTTTTGCTGAATAAATATTTATTCCTTAATTGGGATTGTTTATTAATTTCCAGACTATAATTTAAAAAGTTATGATTTCTGATTCGACTTCATTTCAACTTTATCATTAAAATAATTTTAGGGGAGGGTGGGGCAAAATGGAATGGCGGGGCAAAATGGAACGGTGCAAAAAACTAATATAGAGCGAAATTCAGACAACTTTTTTTTCACCATATGTGAGCTCAAAAATGATGCTTCGGGGTTAAATCAGTGACATCAGTCTACTCTGTAGTTATCGCTACCTTGTAATCTAAGGGAGATAGGAGAATTTTAATAAGGAGCTTTTTGTAGAGAATTTCAAGGGCTATAAAAAAGGTCATTATAAAAATTTTGCTATCTTCATTGTAAAAAAGATAATTCAAGGTTAAAAAACTGAAGAAAAATCTGATGTCTGTAAATTCAATTATAGAGTAATAGACGATTATAGATAAATAAATAAGAGCTTTGGAATATTATTATTGTTCTATGAATAAATTGAATATTAAAAAAAGGTGCTATAGTTTTTGAAAACCAAAATTCACTACCGTTCCATTTTGCCCCACCCTCCCCTTGTCTTAAAAATTAATAGAAATCTGGAAAGTTAAGGTAAATGAATTTTTGAATTTTCGATTGAAAATTGAAAAATACATTATATGATTTAGTTTACTAAAGTTTATTAATGTTTTGTTTGAAAATTCAGATGAGTTGAGGAATTCTCATCCTTCTGCTCTTCAAAAATTTCGAATTCCAATGAATTGTCATTACTTTTCCCCTGTATCGAAATCAGTCACTGTTTTGAAAATATTTAGACAACTGCTCATGAAATTTCAGTTTTCTTTCAAGTATTTAGCCTACTAAAGGAGAGGAAAATGTCACATTTTATCTCAAATCATTCGTTCCGGTGTCATACACTAAGAGAAAAATCGTCATAATATCACAAAACTAATTTCTTGTGCCAAATATTTCATCTCTTGAGGAGAAATTTCTTGGGATAAGAATATTTTGTACCGTTCCATTTTGCCCCCCGTTCCATTTTGCCCCGCCGTTCCATTTTGCCCCGCCGTTCCATTTTGCTCCGCCGTTCCATTTTGCCCCACAGTTCCAATTTGTCCCACCCTCCCCTACAATGATATTTCATTCGTGATAGGTCTATAGAGCTGTTAAAATTATTTAAATGTGCTAGCTGGCGACAAGTGAACGGCCATTGGGACAGGAACGAACATAGACACATCTCTCTTAGTCGAGCGATGGCTGGAATTGAATGAGAATAACGAGGAATGTTGTCATATTGCCAATCATCTGAAACCCAAATAATGACCAGTAATGAACATTTACAACAAATACATAATTAGTGCAAATGCATATTGAAATACCGTTTGCAGCAGGGATGAGTTTATCGGAAAGAGGCCAGCCCCTGAGAATTCAATCTTCTGGTGATGAAGTTGGAGAGACAATGAACGAATCTATAAGAATGAATCAATACGAAAATTCTAAAATTCCATCCCAGATCAGTAGCGAATTGGTGAATGATAATAAGTCAATTGTGAACATTTCTTTGAGTTGTCCATTCATCTCGATAAAACGCGCCGCCTGAAAAATGATTTCATTTCCAACTAATAAAGTCCTTATTCGATTCAAATGAAGTTTATTTGATTCAAATAAATCATTTCTCTCGGTGTGATTGCATAGAATAGTATCGAGTGCACGGAGAGAAATATTCAATAAAAATTACCAGAAAAAAGACGTAAAAATTACGTTTCGAAAAGTAATCTGGGAGCGAAGTAAAATTCAATAAAAAGTGTCAATCGTCACGTAAATTCTACGATCTGTTCCGTAAAAATTACTCATCCGTCCGACGCCTCACGGCTAGCCATGAGTCACCGTGAGGGGGAGATTTTAACAACACGTTCCGTAATTTTTCCGGAACTTTTCGTAAAAATTCTTAAACATCCAAGAATTTTCATGTTCTGAGGCATAATAAGTCTTGAAGTTTCTGTTAGATTTTACAACTTCCAGAAAAATTACGTGACTTTTTCGTATTTTTTCGGTGACAGACCCGAAAATTTACTGAACGTTTCAGATTTATTCTCTTATATTCCTATAGAAATTCACTGAAAACGATTCTCGCTTGCGGATTACGTGAAATGTTCCGTAATTATTCTTGAATATTTCTCTGCGTGTGTAATCCTCAAGACAATTCAATAATTGACGAGATGTGGGAAGTGGCTTGTTCTTTTCTGCCACATTCTCCAATTCCTTCATTTTAATAATTACAGATCAATCCAAAAAAGAACTGAATTACAATTTGGTAGAGTTTTGACTCTGAATTCTCGACGTAAAGTTCATGAATCAATCTTCCTGTAAGCTCTGCCTGAAATTCAACGAAACAACCGTAAATAACGAGGGAGGTAATTAGTAATTGGCATCTGACGAATTGCGATTGACTCACTTCGTTGGACGTCAAATTGCAAATGACTACCGTCACTATTATGGGTAGAGCAGTGGTAATTTCCCAAGCTACATAAGTGCCTATGTCCCAATAATCCGTTTCCTCGTCTTTCACTACTTCGTTGAAGATAAAATAGAGGGACGAGCTCATCACGAAGAACGCCATGACAACAATTACTACCAGATTGGCGCTGAAGAACGAGTTAATGAATTTAGATATTTTGCAGAGGTTGTAGTGGACCTTGGCAATTAAGCGAATACTCTCAACGCCTTCGTTGGAGACTTCAATTATCTGCAATTAACTTTGTCATATTCAACTCTACCGTTTGTTAATAGTTAACGAATCTCGTTTGGAGTAAATGAATCAGTCGATCAGTGTATTCTTTCCGTGTACAGATCATACCTTGGGTGGTGACGAATTACTTCTGTCCCTCACCGCCATCAACTTGACATTCAATTGCCGAAAATGAAGTCCCAGAATCATGACCAAAGCTACGAATATCGTGGGTGTCATAACTTGGACGACCAGCGGTATAGTCCAAAAGAGCCATTGAATGAACGAAAATGTTTTGTTGCTACGGATGAACACATTAATGAGCATCAAATGGTACACTGCGAGAAAAACGAAAGTTCTCAAACAAGTCTTACTTGTGCCAAGAAAATAGCTTTTTGAAAATTATCAAAAAAGGATTTTTTTGTGCCAAACATGCAGAGAGTGCGCCGGAATGAAAAATTTTTGTCGCGAAAATAGATTTAGTAGTTCAAAAAAAATTGCATTCTCTGTAGACGCAAGAAATGTCATTTCTAGCACTACTCCTTCGTTATTCGATACTCCCATACGTATTTTGCTCTCGAAAAATCTTTGTTTTATACGAAACAAGGGATAGTAGTTTTTCGTTTCGGCTGTTTAATAATCACAGACAACAAATGAACCCTTAAATGAAACAATAATAATGATATGAAAGCAATCTTGTAACTTAGGGATAAAATATTTGTTGATAAATTTTCCTCTGTATGAGATATTTTCATCCTGAAAAGGCACCGTCTGGTGTGAATTATCCGCCTCTTGAGCCAAATATTTCGTTGCTGTCGAAAGCAGAACAATTATTCATGTTTGAGACTTTCAAATTCGAAGCAAACAAATTCTTTTTTGGCAATTTTCAAATAGCGATTTTGTTGGCCCAAACAAGACTTGTTTGACAGCGTGTTTGTTTTTCTCTCAGTGTATTTCAATTCAGTTTATTCCTCTGAATTGTTATACATGGTATTCATTGACAGTGAAAAACCAACATACAAAATATTGAAATATTAAGTTTTTGAACGCAATTATAAAGCGCGAAATATAGGGGCACCTTATTAATTTGTACACCTAATAAATTGAATTGAAAATGGTATTGAAGAGTCATAAAATATCTCACCCCGGTGGCCACCGGGAAAAACCAATGAAAAAATCGTAGCATATGAACATCAATAAAATCGTCAACATCCCATAAACAAGCGCCTGGATCATCCTCAGGCAGCGACTGTAGTCCGGTCGACAGCCTAGTTGATTCAGAATTACACTCTGGGACGCGAGGAAGTCCATAGCGTCTATGAACTTAAAACAGAACTCTATTAATCTGCTCTATTAATTTTTCTTACGAAGTGAAAATTACACGGAGAAAAAAAATGTAGGAAAATTTACGTGATGACTTATGTAATCGTGTGGGACACGGAGAGAAATTTTTTAGAAAAATTCTAGTCCTGGCACGGGAAAAGAGGCGCAAAGTGACGGCCAGGAAAAAAATCCAGTGCCGGCACTAGAAATTTTATTGGGGAAAACGTGAATTTTTCCCCGTATTTCTGTGAGAATCTCACAGAAATCCTCAGAAATTTTACCAGAAATACCAAGAAATTTTACTTTAACAGCACTAGAATTTTTCACAGGTGGAGGATTGTAATTTTTTCCAGTACTCGTACTAGAATTTTTCTAGAAAATTGCTCTCCGTGCAGAACGCTCATTTCGAAAATTTTACAACAATTCTGGAAAAATTTATGAGACAAAAGAGGAACGTCCTTCTAATTCTTGAAAATTATTTGAACTTGCACGAAAAAGTTCAATCGAAAAACTTAATTAATTCGCTGAAAAATTCAATTAGACTTCTGTTTATTTTTTTACAAAATTATATCGGTTTTTCTCTGAGTCTATTGGAACATCCCGCAGCTTTTAGAAAATATCCAATAGAAACCCTGTTTTTCATTACAATGTAAGCGTAAGATTTACGCACAAGTGACGAAACATACTATTTCACATTGGTCCATTCCGTAATTTTACCAGAGATTTTTAATAGAAATTTTTCCGTGCAAAGAGATCCAAATTTTTACCAAAATCACGAAAATTGGCGTGGAAAAAAATAATGTTCATGAAATCGATCTAATATCTCATGATGACGTTTGAGAACGTTATTTTCACGTTCTTTACGGAGAGAAATTTTCTAGAAAAATTCTAGTACGAGTACTGGAAAAAATCACAATCCACCTGCTGCGAAAAATGTTAGTTCTGTTAAAGTAAAAAATTTGTAGGGATTTCTGTGAAATTTTCACAGAAATACGGGGAAAAATTCACGTTTTCCCCAATAAAATTTCCAGTGCCGGCACTAGAATTTTTGTAAAAAATTTCTCTCCGTGTTTCCATGGTACTTAAAAAAATTTCTCCCTGTGGAAATTATGAGTCTCTCATACATCCTTTCGGTAGAACATCCACATGAAGCAGTTGATCAGCATGCACAGAAGGCACGACATGGTCCGAACAATTGTCACCATCGTCATTACCCATATCTGCGATCTGTTGTAATATGAAAAACTACATAATCCATGTATGGTGACCAAACTAGGGTTAAATCGCAATTGGAAAATCCCCAAAGCATCAAATATCAAATATTATATTTTTATGTAATATTGAAATTTACAAAACAGTGAATAGAAAAATTACATCAATGACATCGATGAATTGCTGCACTGAGAAAAATTCTCTAGAAAAAATAAAGTGCTAGCACAAACGAGTCATAGTTTGCAGAAACGGAAAAATTATTATGTAGCACCAGAAAAATTATTGTAAAGAACTAGAAAAATTGTGAGAGAAATTATCGTTCAGCATTGGAAAGGTATTGGGCGCCATAATTTTTCTGGTACTAGGGGAAGGTGTGCCTGTACCGCCCACCTAAGGGGAAATGTCAGTTTTATATTTTATATTTCAACTTGAGCATAAAAAACGTATTTGTGAGACTTCTTTAACTATTGAACTCGTTATTCTCGAAGTGTAGACGCCTAATTCTCCTTAGACTCCACAAAATTGCTTGAAAATAAAAGAGGGAGCCTATTGAGCGGTACTCCGCCGTCGGGTAATACCGCTCGGCACGATTCCAATGCCGCTCATAGGGTTTTGCGTGTTTCGCTCGCGCCGCAATCTAACCTGCACTCGAGTGCTGTGGAGCAACTACGTGGCCGATCCTATGAGCGGTATTACCGGCTCCGCTCGGCGTCAACAAAATTGTTGATAATTATTGACATGAGTGAAGTTTTGAGTTCGAATTGGTCTCAAATTACGCGTGAAAGTACGACGAATCGAATAACCACAGTTTAATATGAGAATTCAGCGTTTGAAACTATCAAAAACCTTAATTACAAGTCCACAAATTTTGCACTGTAAAGACCTCAAAACTTCGTTACGTGTTTTTTCATATTTAAAGTGGTAAATAAAGTAAAATTTTTCCGACAATCACATCCTATCATCCAATTCTTCATGATCAGGAACAGAAATAAATTTTCAAGTTGATGGTTGTGGAGAAAATCGGGTGAGCGGTATTACCCGCTGAGCGGTACAGGCACACCCTCCCCTATACGTGAGTTAAAATATGCTTTAAAAAATCTCAAGTACCTCAGAATATGCTCCCACGTGTAGAAAACTGTAGAGATCAATGCCACACACGTGAAGAACAGAATTATTTGATACCCCATGATGACTCTACTGAAGCAACACTTTTTCACATTGCCATGACCAGGGAAGCGCATCGGAAAATTCCCAGCGAATTGCCATATCAAAGCAACACTATCTAGCATCGAGAAGAGGTCGATCTTCGGCTTCAATTTTCTAGGCTTGTCTGAAAAATTGAAGACGCTTCTTTCTTATAAAGAGAAAATCACTTGGTTTGGTTCTGTAAATTACCTGTCAACCACATATTCTCCATCGAGTTCATGCTCATTTTTCCATCATCTGAGTGAATGTCTCTGGTCACATTAGTATAGTTAGACTGAACACACTTCGTAGAAAACAAATGGACTTGTCCTTATCAAATTGCATTATGCGGATTGATACTATTAGCGAATTGTCAGTGGAAAATGTTCTCGTGATGGATAAGGATGAGCGCATGATGGGTGCATTAGGATAATAACTCGTCGAGATATCTCCAATGTTAAACGTGTCGTTGTTTAGAATTCGTGTAATGATACTATTTTACGTTTTATAGAATAATTTGATCTGAAATTCACAGTTTTCATCGATGTTCTCATCAGATTGTGAATATTTAATGATGAAATTCTTGAGGGACAGCAGTGGTGACGCGGGGAGCGTATACGGCACCGGGCACCCACTCAAGAAACGTGAATAGCAATTATACTATAAACTAATAAATAGGAATAATAGCACAGCCAGTCATACCGATAAAGATCATAGCAAAGCACGACGTGCTTTGCGAAAAAAAAAAAAAAATTCTAAGAGAATTAGAATTTAGAGAGAAAAAATTTCCGCTTCACCCAGCCGGGAATCGAACCCGGGTCTCCCAGATACGCGCCGGGCACTCTTACCGACTAAGCTACCGGGAACCACAGAAATTCACTCTCAAATTCACCTCAAACACCGCCTCACGACGTGCTTTGCTATGATCTTCATCGGTATGACTTCTGAAAAAAGTTTTTGTATAAATTCACTGAAACGTTTTTTTATCATTCCAATTGTATAATAGTATATATTACAGAAGGGAATTTATATAGCATTCCACATCTTTGTCACGTCATAGGAAATAAGTGGATGGGATTTGGTTGAGGTAGGAGGGGAATCAGAATTACTCTCAGTATGAATAACTAGAAAATTTTTACTGAAAAAATGCATAGTCCAGACCGGGATTTGAACCCGGGACCTTCCAATTATGCATCGGGTGCTCTTCCAACTGAGCTATTCGGTTCCTAGCCATTTCTTCCTTTCAAATTTCTGGTACATGAATTATTATTGTTCTGGTTTATAAATGTAGGTATAATATAAATATAATATATTATAATATATATATAAAATGTAATGTAATATAAAATGTGCGATTAACAATCTGAAAATTTTTCTCATTACTTTATTTTTTACTCGTAAAAAATTTGAAAAGAATAACATTCATACGAATCCGACTCATTTTTAAAAAATATCTCTAGGAACATAGACATCTAGCAGCCGATGAATAAGTCGTTGAGAGCTGAAAAATGCTAAATTGAGGGCGGACATTGGCCAATTGGAGTCAAAGCATAAATGGATTATCGGAATGTGACTAAAATTTACAAGATTCCTTATTTACAAATAACATGGTAGGAATACTTTGTTTTTCGTAAAAAAAATACATCAAATTTAATTTCGTCAAACTAACTCAGACAAACACACAATTGATTACGTTCTCGCTTTGCAAAAACTGATGAAATCTTCCTAAAAAATAAAAATATTAATTTTTGTAAAAAAAAACTAATACACTAATTGATTCCTAAAAAACAATAATTAATTTTGCTTTTTAGGAATCAATCTACGCAGATTGCATGGGTTTGACGCCAAGCCTTAGCGCCATTTTATGACAGATTTTAATTTGATTCGGGTGATAACGAATGCCGCCCTCCTCATCCACATTTCTCATAGCTGTCCTCTCAGGATCGCCGGCAACGAGAACGCTACCTGCCGCATCGTCAGCAGCGGGCAGTCCCCTGAGCTGTCCCAGCAGCTGTCCCAATCTGTCTCCAGCTCCGGGAGCAAAAACTTGAGGATTGATCGCCATGAAACACTGGCCAAGATCAGCGATTCCCTCGGGCCTCTGCCAGTGCCGAATATTTTGACCAAAGCGACTACCGGAAAGAACACCACAGAGAACCTCAACCATGGTAGCCAATCCATATCCCTTGTAACCAGAAGTTTCTTCCGCTCCGCCCAGAGGTTGCAGATTCCCCACATCATACGCCTCCTGGGGATTTTTCGTCGGTTTCCCGTCTGCACCCAACGCCCACCCTTTGGGGATCTCATCTTTTTTATTGATCGCCACTTCGATCTTTCCCAAGGCCACAGCAGTCGTCGCCATGTCGAGTGCGAATTCGTCGGCGCCATCTTGTGTTCTCATAGCTAGGGAGAAGGGATTCGTCCCGAGTGCTGCCGACGACGCGCGCGTTGGTACCAAGCAGGGACTCGTGTTTGTGCAGGAAAAACCTATGAGACCTTTCTCCGCTGCCATGAGACTGTAATATCCACAAATGCCGTAGTGATTTGAGCCACGCGCTGAGACCATTCCAATGCCGAAGGTCTTTGCTTTCTGTATTGCCAATTCCATACAAAATTTACCGATCACGTGGCCCAAACCGTTTCGACCGTCCACAAGAGCAGTTGCCTGTGGAGAGAATATTCCACTATAAAGAAATCCATTGAAACGTTTTTATGTCATCACAATTCAATAGCGAAGCGGTACATCGGGTTAAGTCGATTTTGAATTTGGGTTAGTTTTTGATGAATATCTCGGAATCTAAGAGAGATGGCAGAATTTTCCCATGACCTTTTTTGTAACCCTCAATTGGCTCTACAAAAAAGGTCATGACAAAAAAAATTCTATCTCTTTTAGATTCCGAGATATTCGTCAAAAACTGATTCAAAGTCAAAATCGACTTAACCCGGTTTACCGCTTCACTACTGAATTGTAAAATAGTATTATAATAATTACAATAATAATAATAATATTAATAATAACAGGTTTGCGGTTTATTCCGGTTTATCAGAAACCCTCATTGATTTGAATTTTTTTCTGGAGACAACAGACGAACAAATCTTATCTGTGTATATAGATAAGATGATGAAATCATAGAAAGAAAGAAAGAAAAAAAAACATGAGCTCTTTCAGAAAAATGAAATAAATAATGGGATTATAAGAAGCAAGGTCCTTACCCAAGCAGTGGCACCAGAGATTTGGGGGGAGCGAGCGAAGGGAGCAAGGGGCGAAGCCCCCTAGCATATATATAATAATATTCGTAATAATATATATATAATATAATAATAGATATAAATAATTCAGCGGAATAATCAATTCGACGCAATTTAAAATTTATTATTTCTAATTCCTCATGTCGACTTTAAATATTTGTGATTAACAATCTGAAAATTTTTTTCTTTATTTTATTTTTTACTCTACTAAAAAATTTGAAAAGAATCAAATTCATACGAATTCGACTCATTTTTTTGAAAATCCGCACTGAGAATGGTGTGAACTTACTGGGACATCGATTTAGTGTCAGAATGAACACCGAATTTGTTATTTTTTTTTTGTCTGTAATTGTTACTCCGCAATGCCAAGATACACCGAAAAAAATTCTCGAGTACCTGAAACTCATTGATAATTTCTGGTTTCCCATGAGGATCGGTGAGTCCACTCTCGATATCCTTAACGTACATCGGCACTCGGTTCATTCCGTGACTGAAATGTCCCCGGTAGTCAGCAGTCATAAGATGATGAGCAACGATTTTCGAATCGTCTGCATTGGCTCCCACTTTTGTCAAGCAATCCGCGATGAATCTGATCACCTCGTCTTTGCTGACGAGAAAACTCTCGGTTTCCCTATCACTGGACATTTTTCCAAAAACCAAGAGCTTCCGTTGTTACTTTGCCAATGTATCCAGTCTTCTCTCACTTTCAATTCGATGAAAACACTTCCACCAGAATATTCAACCTGATAAATGAATAATGAGCGAACACTTAACCCACAGTCGTTCTTATCTTTTATCACGAATGCTTCTTTTAGCCACTGTTTGTGAAAAACATCTTTTTACTCTGTTATCGTATCTACTAGGTATCCCTCACGTTCACTCCACCAATATGATGTAATTGATTTCGTGCTGTGATTAAGTGAGATCAGGAGACGCTGATTGAACGGTCCAAAATGAACGGTGAATTCATCTGAGAAATTTTTAGGGTCTCCCATAGCGACTCCTGACCTTCATCATCGTATGGACGAGTGAAAAGTGAGTGAAGGTCACCCAGTGTTTGGCCGTGAAAATGTCAAGGAGAACGGATAGTTATCAATAGAAGTCTTCAAAACAACTACATCATTCATCCGAATATCAGCAAAGGCGTCGAGACCGAGGGGTTATTCGCTATTGAATATCGTGCCACAATGATCACTGATTTCACATAATTTCCAGGAATACTCGACTCCAAGTGATTTCATAGGATTTTGTCTCCGATTTCATGATTTCACATGATTTCAAATTTTCGATTTCTATCTGCGGAAAATAAAAAAAAAATTTAGTATCAACTTCAATGTAACTATCCACAATGATGTTAACATCGCGATTTAACGCGAAGTGTGAAACTTCGCTTTTTCTCGCGAAGATCGCCGTCATTTAGAAGCGACTCACACGATTGTGGTGCTCACCGTCTCCATTCCTTGAGACAAGTCGAAACTTAAATATCAACTAAAATATGACTACCCATAATGAAGTGAAGATTAGACTTGTCTCAAGGAAGGGGACGGCGGAAACCACAATTGTATGAGGCATATTTAAATGCCGGCGATGTTTGCGAAAAATCGCGAAGTTTTCACTTTGCGTTAAATCGCGAAATTTTCGCTTCGTGTTGAATCGCAAAGTTTACACTTCATGTTAAATCGCGAAGTTCCCACCTCGAGTTAAATCGCGAAGTTTACACTTCGCGTTAAATCACGAAGTTTACACTTCGCGTTAAATCGCAAAGTTTACACATCGTTTTAAATCGTAAAGTTTACACTTCGCGTTAAATCGTAAAGTTTACACTTCGCGTTAAATCGCAAAGTTTATACTTCGCGTTAAATCGCGAAGTTCACACTTTGAGTTAAATCGCGAAGTTTACACTTCGCGTTAAATCGCGATGTGAACATCATTACGGGAAGTGATAGTTAAGTTGAAATCCAATCTCAAACTTAACGCTTCTAAAGATCCTGAAAAGATCTTTCCGCGGGAATGATAGATGCTCTCCAATTCTAAATTTGTGAGACTAAGCATTAACCGTTGACCAACGTTTTTCTTTCCTTGAAGTATCCTGAAAGTTCACATTTCGAGGCGGTTCAGCGGGCATATAGTGTTTGTTTTCGCGTAAAGTCCAAGGTCGTCTGTAAAGTGAACTTTGAGTGCGTAAAGCGCCGCGCAAAAAACCAAACAGTTAAAACCACCTGTGCCTCCGCAAAGTGAACTCAGGTATTACAAAAAATAGGATACACGCGCGTGAGAAAGAGCGGAACTTCACGCACTAGTACCACAAAATACTCCAATACAATTTCCACCAAAGTATTGACAAAAGAATTGACGGAAACGTTTGTCCAGTAATTGACGTACAAATTGAAAAACAATTTTTACGAAAATCATATTTATTCATCAACATTCAACTTTCTATAAACGCGAACAAGGAAAAGTTGTCAAACAGTGAGTTATCCTCACAATTCCAAGTGGAGTCACTACCTAATACAATTTCTGAGTAAAATCAGCTAATTCCATGCGAATATGGTATCATCAATAATGCTGAGGTAGAGTCGATGAAGTATAGAATCTAGGCACTTTCTTTGTACTTAGTGTCGAGACATTACATTACAATAATCTAGTGATTAACAATCATATTAAAATAATTGATCGATGATTACTCATCTCTCAGTTTTTATGACAAATTAGTCTAGTTAAAGTGAATGGATATCTATAAAATAGCGTGAATAACAAGCTTAGAATATTCATTGATAAATTTTCAACCGAAGAGTACGATACATTAGGGATCGCGTAAGTACGTAAGAAGGTACACTTCCCATTATTACAATGAGTTGTCACGATTCTTGCCGTTGGACGGTCAATCGCTCACCCTTCTATCTTTCACAATCTGTTAAAAGTATCTTCGCGAGAGAACAAGTTGAAACTTTTGCTCAGTGGTGCCACATTTCCGGATGAATGCCAAATGCAACAGGATAAAATAGCCTACATTGTCCAAACATCTTTGAAGTCAAGAGTTACAATGAAATGTTCATAAATATCGGTGGTAACTTCGCATCTAATATCTAATAGTCTCCGTGGTAACTGTTTACGGAACACAATGACGATGAATTCACGGATTAAACGTATTATCAGTCTTATATATCGTATGGAGACCGATTCCACTTTATTGTTTACGGTAAATTGCCTATTGAGCAACATATTGCCACAGTATCCCAAGGCCACTATTTGATCTTTACGGTTTACATCGTTAACGTCTATTTCTAATATTAAAGTTTTCGGCAGCATCGTCTTGTGATGTTATTTCTTTCAATTATGCTCGTTTACAATCATCATTTGTTCATCCTCTCATCGCTGAAAAGGCACCGGGAGCTTTTTTCAACGAGTTGTATTCGATATTCTCCTATATTTACATCACAATCGTTCTTAAGCTAACTGTCCTAACGTATTCGTGAAAGATTCTATCCAACCAATGTCTATCTAACGAAGAAACCTTAAATTAGGAAGAAGATGAAGAACAAGTGAGTTGTGATCCTGTCTCAGGTAATCTTCACTGCTATTTCTAACTTTCTATAACCATATAAATCTATGTGATGATGTTGCGGCGTCATTTCGCGACACATGCTCAACGATTCTCATCATCAAAACGTAAAATAAATAAATAAAACTGAATAAAAAATTTAAAAATTCCAAATATTTTACATCTGATTGTGAATACCGATAGTATTCTTCCGATATTCGTGTTATGATTTCATTGGAGGTTTGTCAATCTCAGTCTAAACACCATATCATTGTCAGTCTGTCTTCCAGGCAAAGGGAAGAGAAAAGATACAGTCCCTCTCAGTCTTACGAAAGTTTCCGTAATGACTCACGTAATCAGTCCTGGGGTGAGTCATCCTTCTCCTCCTTGATGTGGTGATTGCCGGGCGATACTATGACATTCGTGCGTTGGACCGAGAGATCCTGAACATCATCGTCATCCTGCTTGGTACCGTCATCTTCAGGAGTTGAACTGGCGTCAGAGTTCTCGGACGGCTGAAGAGCGTCTTCTTGGGTCGCCGGACTAGGGCTTCTCTTCACGTTCTCCAGGCTAATTTCAGAGTACTCTGATGGCTGGCGACCTTGACCTTGAGCCATGTCCAACAGAGCCATTGACGCGTCATCGTGATCTGTCATGCTTCTGTATATATCGCCATTTCGATTGCCCCCTATTCCGTGAGGAAAGTGGGCGCTGCTGGCGCTGCGATGGCGTTTGCCAGTTCGCTGGGTCCTAATCCCCATTTTCTTTACTTTATCGTAAAGGGTGCGAGATGGAATACCTAAGGCGGTGGCTACTGCCAAGGCGCACTCGCCGTTCTCGACTTTCTTTATCGCCTCGGCCATCTGCTCTTTCGAGTACAGCTTGTAGTTTTTTCCACCTTTGAAAGAAGAAATATCAAGATCTTATGAATCGAGGTTTATGGTGGGAACAGGCAGGACAGCAGGCCAAAACAGTCGATGCTTTTTTTGTCTTATTTTTTTATGAAGAGATGGCAATTGGAGGAATGGTGTGGAAAAAGGAAAATTGAAAAATATTGATAATTGAGGGAGTTATGATTTTTTGAAAATGGCTAGTTTTTGTCAAAAAATGTTTTTTTTTTCAAATTGGCCGCAATGTTTCCGTGGGATTTGGAGAACATGAAAAATCCTTCAAAATGAGACGTCATGCATAATATAAGATAATATAATATTATGTTCTGTTTGACGGGGTTTATACGAGAAAACCTTTTTTTTTTAATCGTGAATTACTAAAAAAGATAATTTTTTAAAAATCTGAAATTTTTACCAACAATTGTCAATAAAATGAGAGGAATTTTGTCGCCAATTTGTCTTTCGCTGTAGTTCGACGGTTATTATTGTTTTCAGTGGGACGAATATTGAAAATGAGCAAAAATCGCTATTATTCATGCAATTATCCGCAAAATGAGTCAATTCGATAAAATTCTGGATTACCAACAAATGAAAGCTCTTTAAAATGTATTTTCACTCAAACAATCATACTGAATATGAATAATGGAAGATACAATGAGTCTAATTGATAAATTGATAAATGAGTGATTGAATATTCACTCATTTGTGCGATAATTGCATGAATAATGGCAATTTTCGGTCATTTTCAACACTTGTCTCTTGAAAGACAAACTCCAATTGGCACGAAAATTCTTGCTATTTTATTGACAATTTTTACCGAAAATTTCAGATCTTTTAAAAAATGAACTATTTGACTAATTAACGATTAAAAAAAAACGTTTTCTCGTATAAACCCCGTCAAACGAAAGATACTGCTACGTATGACATCTCATTTTGAAGGATTTTTCGTGCTCTTTGAGTGCGCCAAAGGGCGATTAATCACAATAACATTTAGTTTAATCACATGTTTTTGTTCATTTGTTTTCATATTATTAGTGATGCCGTCGAGACTAGACGAGAATTATTTTGGAAAGATCATCACGGCCTAAAAAAACATCTAAAGTTTAGGAATCGTCGTGATCTCGAAAGACAATGGATCGGTGCATCTCCTCCCGAACTTGGAAGAATCCATCACGTCTGAGTTTCAGTATTTTCTGTTTTTCAAATGTTTGTCTCGATATCTGTTCCGTCTCGTCTCCTGAACTTGAAAAAACCGAAAACCTCGAGATCCAGGCAAGATAAATCCTCCCGGAATTGCAACGAGATGCGCCGATCCAATGTCTTCCGAGATTGCGACGATTCCAAAATTTTCGACTTTTTTCCAGACCGTGATGATCTCTCCAAAATAATTTTCGACTAGTCTCGACGGCATCACTACATATTATGCCTTTCGACACTAATACACGGAGAGAAATATTCAATAAAAATTACGTATCTTTTCCGTAATTCCGGAGCGAAATGTGGTTGTAGGAAATTTTACGGAACTGTCACGGAATTTTTCCGGAGCGTTCCGTACACTGATAGAACGAATTAGTTATTGTTAACGAATGGATTTTGGTTGGAGATTAGGGTCTATTCGGCCCCACCAAATATTCATTCGTTAATAGTTAACGAATCTATATTTGAGGAGCCTTGTTTGAGTTGATTTTCGCCATTCAAGTGAACCATTCGTTAAATATTAACGAATATTCATTTGGTCATATTCAACTCTACCATTCGTTAATAGTTAACGAATCTCGTTTGGAACAAATGAATCATTCTATCAGTGTAATTTTTATCTGAATCTCTTGTGAAAAATTACCATACCGTCACCCAAATTTTCTGAGTTGATTCCGTAATCGGTGAGTGAAGTGAGAGTTCCGTAATTTTTACTGAATATTTCTCTCCGTGTATTAGTAGAAATAGTTCGCCTAAGCGTGGATAGCCATCAAGATATTTTTGTAATTCAATCTTCTCCTGATTTTTCATGTTATCACCATCGCGCCCTGATTTTGGCGATGATCACGTTCTGACCAAGATTTGAAGCCATTTGTTTATACTTTCTGTTCGTAATTTTGTTTTCACGCGCCTGACGAAGCTAAAATAATTCAGCGAAACGCCGCACTATGAGGATTTCATCGTGGTATTCATCTCTCCAGAATCCCCTGACCTTTCTTCTTTCTCAAATAACTCAACATCATTGAGATGAAAACAATTATTGACTATTATTCTCTATGCTTTTTCTTTCGAAATGCCAGCCCGTGAAGCCATCCAAGTAAACCATCGATACCGAGACGATTAAACCTGATAGAGGACAGATTGTCAGTGGCCTTAAACTTACTGCTCTTGCGCTGTTGATGCTCTTGCGAAGCCCTTCTCTTGGTGCCCTTCTTCACGGAGACATCAGCAGTGAAGGCGCTGTGTCCGTTGAGCCCAGCGGTCAGCTCAAGTGCATCATCTGCAGTGGACATGCCCTGTGAGCTGTCTGCATGGCTCTGGCCAAGAACAGTCCTCAAGATTCCTGACTCCCGGTTCTGTTCGCTCTCGCTGGTTTCATAAGCTGCTGGCAGGAGTGTCGTCGATCTCCGAGCCAGGAGGGGATTGAGAACGGATTCCGCAGCTAGGGAAAGATTGGAGAGGTGGTTCCACCCTGGTGAGGGCATGTAGCCAGCAGCTGCACCGAGGGTGGGCGACGTCGCGTACGAGTAGTACGGAACAGACGTAGAATGTGGGGGTGATCCTTGGAGTTTTTGCAAGTCCCTTCCGTTGGAATTTTTGTAATCAGTGCTGCTGATCAGCGGAGGTGGTGACTCAAGGTCACGGGAGTCCTGGGGGTCGTCGTCGATGAGGCCTTTGACCTTCAGCAGCTTTGCCACCTTCAGGAGGTCGTTGATCCTCTCCTGAAGGACGCAGACCTCACCCTGGTACATGTACTCCAGGATTGCCTCCATCTCCCAGCCCTTGACACCTGGCAACAGCAGCATCAGGTACTGCTCGTTGGAGGGGGCCTGTCGGAAGATGGTCTCGAAGAATGTCGAGCACGCTGCCAGAACCATCTTGTGGCATTTGATCGATGTGGTTCCAGCACCGTCCTCCACCACCAGCAAGACATCCGTGAATGCCTGCTTCTGGAGGAGGTCGTGAAAGGCTAATTGGAGATTTGCACTGTGGTTGTTCCAACGGAGGCAGTACTGCTGGTGGGGAGACGACTCCATTTTGGTGTGAGTCAAACTGGAATTTAAAAAAATATCTTGTTGGTAATTGCGAATAGGTCATTATCTAATGATGACTGTAATGGGAATTTTGGAATGCTATGCGCTGCTGATAAGCGTGAAGGACATTTGTGGTACCTTCTGGCCATGTTTTTCGTGGCGAAAATGACATTGAAGATATTCAACCTTCACGAGATTCTTTTGGGGAATGTTGGTAAACGTTTTTGTGGTTATTGCGAGTGTTTTAGACTGGAAATTCGACATTATTCATTTATTTATTTTATTTTTCATGTTTTATTTATTGGATTAACCTACAGTGGGCTATTTACATTCACTTAAGATGTACGAAAGTTATGAAGGAAAATAGTAGTTGTCGACGTTATTTTGAAGGAAAAATATCATATTATGTTTTTTTAGTATTTATTTTGGGGGTGGAGGGGAGGACGGGGCAAAATGGACACTTTTGATTTTTTTTTTAATTTTCATGACTCGGAGATGAATTCATCAATTAAACTCAGTTTGGACTCTGAATGAATTATCAACATTTTTTTAAAAGTCAAAAGGGTTGATACGCTGTTGGGTAAAAATTGAAAGTTCACCGTTAGTTTCAAATTTTTGAACAGCGAGAAAACAAAAAGTCCTCGATTTAGTTGAATTTTCAATCATAACATGAATATTCATGAAGATTTATTTTCAGGAAATAGCTGAAGTTATAGCTCCAGATTTTTTTTATCAACTTGTAAGTTTCGTTTAGAAATATTTTATTTTTCTATAGAATTCTGAATTTTCAATTACGAAATTCATCGAAATTTCGGTGGAACTACATTTTTAACTGTGAAAAATATTCTATTGGCAATTAATAAACGAATAATAAATATAATTTCAATATAAAAAGTTGATATTTATTCGTAAGGCTCCAGCGCAAATATTTTATTCTTAAAATAGAACATTAGCCCTTAAAAATCTGGATTTTAAAGTAACTAGAATATCGATCTCTCTGGAATAAACAACTGGCCATAAAAAATCGCGGCAATTTTCCATGTCTAAACCACCCGCAATAGCTTCAAACCCCAAAAATAAAATAAAAAACGAGAAAACCATGAGAAATAAATTGTTTACAACAATTTACTCCTCCGTGCGCACAGTTGGCGCACCAAATTCATCAACATTTCTGTGGAACTGTTGATATTTTTTCATATGTTCTCAGTGCAAATATTTTATTCTTAAAATTGAACATTAGCCCTTAAAATCTGGATTTTAAAATAACTAGAATATCGATCTCTCTGGAATTAACAACTGGCCATAAAAAATCGCGGCAATTTTCCATGTCTAAACCACCCGCAATAGCTTCAAACCCCAAAAATAAAATAAAAAACGAGAAAACCATGAGAAATAAATTGTTCACAACAATTTGCTCCTCCGTGCGCACAGTTGGCGCATCAAATTCATCAAAATTTCTGTGGAACTGTTGATATTTTTTCATATGGTCTCAGTACAAATATTTTATTCTTAAAATTGAACATTAGCCCTTAAAAATCTGGATTTTAAAATAACTAGAATATCGATCTCTCTGGAATTAACAACTGGCCATAAAAAATCGCGGCAATTTTCCATGTCTAAACCACCCGCAATAGCTTCAAACCCCAAAAATAAAATTAAAAACGAGAAAACCATGAGGAATAAATTGTTTATAACAATTTATTTTCCCGTGTGCACTGTTAACGCACCAAATTCATCGAAATTTCTGTGGAACTTGATATTTTATTCTTGAAATTGAACATTAGCCCTTAAAAATCCGGATTGTTAAATAACTAGAATATCGATCTCTCTGGAATAAACAACTGACCATAAAAAATTGTTGCAATTTTTCACGTCTAAACCCCCCGCAATAGCTTCAAACCCCAAAAATATAAAAAAAACGAGAAAACCATGAGAAATAAATTGTTTACAACAATTTACTCTTTCGTGCGCACATCTACCGATAGGAAAAAGTATGCGTAATTACTTAGCAAGGCCAAAGCTAACAAACAGAACCCGGAATATGACCATTTGCACGCGATTGGTCGATGATTCGACTCAGGGACATCTGCAGACATTCGGTTGGTGCAGAAATCGCGGCCAAAAGTTAGTCCCTGTTGTTTTTGCAAGAAAAATCATAAGTCCTTCGTTTCACCCGCATTTTGCCCATTACTTTCACGTCTTTCCTCAACTCATGGAGCTGACGAAAAAAATAACGACCTTTGACAACGGGAAATGGACGATTATCACGATCGCTCATTTATTTTGGCGAAGAAACTTTTGCCTGGGCCTGTCCGACACACCAAAATTTTTCGTGTACTGACGCCCGACTAACCCACACACAGATGCAGGCGTCGCCACTTCAGTATGTACGACTCATCGCTGTTAGTTCTCCCCTCCAAGACTTAAATTTCACGGAATTGATGTTTTTCGAGTTGGATATCAATAGAATGTTTTATTATGTCACGACAATGATATAATAAAACAATCTATACTATCTTTAGTATTTATAACTAACAATTGATCAATTTTTAGAAACATTCTGAAGAATTTTATCGTAGAACGCAAAAATCTTGATCGAAGGGCTGTACGCTCCGCCCAACTCTCGTGTTTTGACGATTTCCTACTATTATCAATTATCTCAATAATTTGGAACAGTAAATAACGAAAATTTTACGAGCTGTTGGAGAATATTATAACCGTCCGCATTAAAATTCCCCGAAATTTCGTTTGAATTCTCGTCACGCGTCATTTCTTCAGAACAATTCCATCTTTTAATAACAAATAAAACGGCATTGATGGTCGGAATAATGCACATTGACTCTGAAATTATTTCCCCCACACGTGTCGCCGTTAAATCTCGAAAAAAACAATTCGCAAATTCCTGAAATCAGCGGTGTACTGACGGCAGAAGCATGTAAACAAAAATTGCGAATGAAGAATGAAAATAATAAACATTTCATGGGCAAGTGCGTAGAATGCGTAGAACAGAGTGCAGTAAACACTTACGTTCAAAGGTACAATCGAGTCACACTTCTGCGACGCGCAATTTCGGCGTCATCCAAAAGGAAAAAAGTTCTTTCAAATCTGCTCGAAAAATGGAAGCAGTCAGCGGCTAAAACTCCAGTAATTCTCACTGATGAAAGAACAATTCCGCTGAAGACCTAGTCCCTCCCCCCCCCCCCCCCC